CTGGGTACAGCCTCTCCTAGCTCGTGGAACATGGACGAGGGCTTTCTCTGCTCTGCCGCTGGCTGCTGGGTATGGCCCGATTGTTGGGGTGGGGCGGGAGTCTCCTGTCTGTGCCAGACGGGCACAGAGAGTGGTGGTGACCGGGCAGGTGGTTTTTTTTTTTTTTTTTTGAGACAGAGTCTCACTCTGTTGCCCTGGCTAGAGTGGCATGGCGTCAGCCTAGCTCACAGCAACCTCAAACTCCTGGGCTCAAGCGATCCTACTCCTCAGCCTCCCCAGTAGCTGAGGCTACAGGCATGCACCACCATGCTTGGCTAATTTTTTCTATATATATTTTTAGTTGTCCAGCTAATTTATTTCTATTTTTTTAGTAGAGACGAGGTCTCGCTCTTGCTCAGGCTGGTCTGAACTCCTGAGCTCAAACGCTCCGCCCACCTTGGCCTCCCAGAGTGCTGGGATTACAGGCGTGGGCCACTGTGCCCTGCCAGGGTTTGAGTCCCAGCTCTGAAGTTTGTTAACTGTAACCTTGGGTGAGTTCCACTATTACAGATTTGAGCTCCAGTTTCTCCACCTATAAAATGGGGGTGACAATAGCGGTACTTACCACACGGAGTCATTGTGAGGATAAGTTAGTGCACACACGTCCTCCCAGCCGTGCCCGGCACACAGCAGGAGCTGGGAGACTTAGCTGCTGGCACGTGGCAGGCAGTGTCCTCGGGGCTGGGGATACCTTGGGGGCAAAAGAAGCAAAGGTTCAAAAACAAAACGATCCTTTCTAATTTAATGAAAACTTTGTTATTTTTTATTGTTTTCTGTGTGTGAGTTATATGCAACTCACACGGCGCTAGAATCCATTTTTACACTGCATGCCATGAGTTGTATCTGACTCACGATACACTTATTGAATTTGTTTTGGAGAATTGTGTCTTCATATGCTTCCTGAGACCCCGGGCTCAAAACTGGCGTGAGTTAAATACAACTCACGTGGCAGTTCATGTGTTAACTATCTCCTGACAGATGTGGAGATCAGAGTTTGGTAAGAGGCGGAGGTGGTTCCATGGGCTGAGAAGGCATTCAGGGAGAACAACCTGCCCATCTTGATAAAAGAGACACGTGGTGGACTTGGATCTTAATTTTGCATGTAATGTTCTACTCAACCAGGCCCCTTAACCAGAAAATCTGGCTGGGCGTGGCCTGTCCTGACTGGCGAATGACACCACGTCCAACAGAGCCCTCCACCAGGCAAGGCACTCTGAGCAGAAGTGGATCGACACACAGCTCGGCCTCTCTCTTGGAACGGTTCTCCCCGCAGGCGGCAGCAGTGAAGCCAAGGCCAGCCGGCGAAAGCCTGTGTGGAAACTGTCCTGCCCTTTCTCTTTGGCCTGCCTAGGATGGGGAGGTCTACTTTGTCAGACACAAATGCCTCTTCTCTGTCTGGTACCATGAGCATTCCTGATCTGTGATACACTCCTGCGGAGGAGCCACTGAAAAATAAGTAAAATGTATGAAAAATACAGAAAAAACAAAAAACACTGATCATCTGTTACCGCACCATGCAGCTATCGGCAGGGCTAAAATTTTGCTGCATGTCCTTCTTTCCTGGATATACTTCATTTGAATAACTTTATTATTAATTAGTATTAAGTAGACTTGCATGAACGTCCTTATTGACAAATGTATTTCTCCTTCGTTGAATCTCTCGAGCTGAATTAATGGATCAAAGAGTATTTATCTCCCGAAGTGTCCGCATGTACGTGCTGAAGTTGCCCTCCAGAAAAACTGCACTGTCTGTACCCTCCGAGCTGGCCAGGCGATGCCGGCCTCTTGCTAACCTTGGCCATGCCGGGCGCCACTGTTGTGATAAAGTTGCCAGTGTGACAGTCAAGACAGAGGATCACGTGATATCAATGTTCATTCCTCTAATTGAGAAATCGAGCAGTTTTCAGATCTTCATTGGTCATTTATAAGTTTTATCTTTAATTGACAAATAATTATATTTATTTATGGGGCACAGTGAGATGTTTGATATGTGTACACCTTGTGGAAAGGCAAAATCAAGCTAATTAACATATCCTCACCTCACCTGCTTACTTTTTTTGGTGAGAACATTTAAAATCTACTCTTAGCAATTTTGAAACGTGTAATACATTATTATTAACTGTGGTCGCCATGCAATGCAATGGATCTCAAAACGTATCCTCCTGTCTAACTGAAACTACATCCTTCGACCAGCATCTCCCCTTTCCCCATCCCGAGTGGCAGGGTTAGAAACGACTGCTGGCTTTGCTAGTTTTGTCATCTGGGGCAAGTTGCTTCAGCCCCTGGGCCTCTGTTTCCTGAGACGATCAGCTCTGTCGTCACAGACAGTGCCTGTAATCTGCCTGGCTCCTCCAGAGAGCACAGACGTGCTTAGCAATTAATTATTAACTGCGGACCAGAAAGCAGGTTTGGAGGTGACATTTCACGCACATTGCTGGAGCCAGTAGGCTGGGTTCTGGGAGAGAGGCCTTGCACGGTTTTGCAAAGCTGACACAGGAAAGGGTGGGACGGGTCAGTCGTAACCTCCTGGGACAATGGTCCCTGCTCTGGTCCCGTCTGTGTCTGATAACCTTGCCCTTATCAGAGAGCAGCGATGTGCCCCATGGCCATGAGGTCTGAGCTGCCCCTCACCTTGGAAGGAGGCAGAAGGCCAGGCCGGCTTCCCAGAGGTCTGGGGGCTGTGGCTTCGCCGAGAATTTCGAATGGCCTAGCCTGGCACGGTCTAAGCTCGGCTCCCGGGCTCAGCCTGTCCTCTCCTGCGGAGGGAGGAGGGGGCTTCACCCGCATCTGAGCACCGGCAGACAGCCTGGGAGCCAGCGGGAGGCAGCAACAGCCACAGGCACCGCACAAATGCACGGGCACAAAAGAGGAAGCTGCAGCCTGGCTCAGAGATGCCGAAAGACAAAGCAAACCAAAGAAAGACCCTCAGCCAATTGATAGAGGCAGGCCCAAGACTTGAACCTTGAGCTCTCCCACAAATCCGTCTGGGAAGCTCTTCTCCCATCAAGGCAGGGAGATAATAATTACCTTCATTTTCCAAATGAGGACACTGAGGCACAGAGAGGGTAGGTCACCTCCTCGAGACCACACAGCTGTCAAACCGTGGAGGGAGAATTCAAAGGCCCCGGATCTGAGCTGACAGCCTCCACGCCCAGCCTATGTAAAATTAATTTGCTCAACGTCCGGGAAGAAAAGGAGGGGTCAACTCTGCTCAGCGCCATCCAGGGCAGTGGTCCTGGGTCTGGCTGGTATTCGAATCACCCGTGTGGTGTGTGTGGAGCACGATGCCTGGGACCCTCAGGCCCACGTTCTCAAGTGGGCAGGGGCGGGCACCAGTGTCTGAAAACCGTGGCTCTAAAGTCAGCCCCAGCGGAGGTGGGGGCAGCTGTTCTAACTTGAGGCAGCCCAGGCACCCTAAGCTTCGCCTCCCTGCCCTGGGCTGCAGCCCCGGGCTCACTGCCCATCTCCCCCACTGGTTTCTCCGGGCGAAAGACAAGCCTGGCACCATCTTTCTGGCAGCTGTGTTCACTGCTGGGGGCAGGTGGCCAAGCTGGGCTTTCCTCCCTTTGGCGACTCCACATTCGGCCCAAAAATAGCCCCAGCAAAGGGCTGACGTGGGGGAGGGGTGGTGCCACTCACCCGAATGCCCTGGTGGGTACCCAACATTGGATGCTGCACCCACCTACCTACCCACATGCTTCTTGGGCATCAGAGCCCTCATGTACCAGTCAGGAGACAGAAACCACATAGTCATTTATTTTCACACGAAAGTTTAATGTAAAGATTAACTCTACTGGAAGACTAATGTTTAAAAAGAGTTTTACAGAATCCCTGGGTTTGAGGGAGAGGCTCCCAGGTAAGGAAACACTTGAGGAGGTCCCCTCCCCGAGCCTGGGAGTCAGACCATCTCGTGGGAAGGCATGGGAGCCCCCGGGACAGTGAGGCTCTCTGGGCTGCCGGAGCCAGAGTCTGTGCACGGTCACGGGGCAGGCAAGGCTGCGGCTGCTGGGCGCGGCTAACGGGGCGTCGGGACCAGAGCTCATCTGTCTAACATCAGAAAGGCCACAGCTAGGGCTACAACCCTGCCCAGATCTTCACCCAGACCCCTGGATGTCCCCACACCACACCTCTGGCAGCCAAGCTGTAGGAGCAAGAATCCCCTCCCTCCTGCGCTGCCCCCAGCGCCCTCTACTGGCCAATTTAACACTGTGCAGGCTGCAAAAGAGAAATCTTATCAGGGCCCAGCCCAGGATTGCACAGCAGGTAATAAAGGGCGGGGTGGAGACTTTTATTTAGCAAGAATAAGTGCAGTTCTGATCACAGGGAGCTGGAAGACGTCCTGTTAAGTGTCAGATACCAGTTTGTCTAGGCAGTGGGGCAGCTTGGGCTCTCAATACAGAGAAACTCTGTCCCCAAAGGGCTATTAAAGGTCATCTTCCTGCCCTCAGGACACTGAACACAGAAAGTCACTTCTGCTGGCAAAAGCAGTTGGTGTAAAGTCTCAGAAATCCCCTCTGGACAAGGGAAAGGAAAGACCACCGTTACTTACAGATACCCGCCAAGTGCCAGGCTCTTTCTGTTACAGATGAGTAAACTGAGGCTCACCAGTGGGTGGAGCTGGGATGCCAGCCCCCACGGACCTGGCTGACCATGCTCTTTACAGCCCCCCAGGGGCTTCTCCCTGGGACGGTCCCTTAGAACTGTGGTCCCCAACCCCCAGGCTGCGGCCCAGTACCAGTCTGTGGCCTGTTAGGGTCCCGGCCGCAGAGCTCTGTCACTCGCCCTCCTCCCTGCCCCCCGTCTGTGGAAAAATAGTTTTCCACGAAACTTAGGAACAGGGACTGGGGGACACAGCAGCAGGTGAGTGGCGAAGCTTCATCCCTATCATCCGTATTTACAGCTGCTCCCCAGAGCTCGCATCGCCGCCGCCCCCACCCTGCCCCCATCCGTGAAAAGCTGTCTCCCATGAAACTGGTCACTGGGGCCATGACGGTTGGGGACCGCTGCCTTAGAAGATCCCAGGCAGCAGGCGGTAGGGCACGGCGGCGGTGTAGCGCTCCCAGTCCTTGCCGTACTTGCTGGCGCAGCGGTGCTCGTCCCGCAGGCAGCGGTGGACCAGCAAGATGGCCATGTAGACGATGTAGAAGTAGGGCAGGAGGTGGCCGCCCCCGCAGGCCAGGCAGTAGGCCAGGCTGCCCATCAGGTCGCCGGTGTAGTTGAAGTGGCGGGCAATGCCCCAGAAGCCCGACACCAGCAGCTTGCTGTGGTGCTTCTGCCCGTCAGCGGACATGTATGAGCACTCGATGGCCTTGGGCTTCCTGCCCCAGATGAGGCAGCGGCCGTCCGTGCGGCGGAACAGGTCCTTCTGGTGGTTAGCCATGCGGAAGATGTAGTAGCCCAGCAGGCCCAGCAGCAGGACGCCCATGGCGTGGGCGGCTGAGAGCTGCACGGGGTGGTAGACCAAGTACAGACCCTGGGGGGCAAGAGGGAAGGGGTCACGCGGCGCCTCCCTGGGGAGCCGGCAGGAGCACAGGCGGCCCGGGCTCAAATCCTGGCTCTGCCTCTGACACATGCCGTGCCTCGGCTTCCTCTTCTGTAAAAGCACCTACCTCGACGGTTGTGGGCCTCAGATGAGTAAACCCACCTACCCACCTACCTAAGTACGCATACACGCATATCCACTCACCTCATATATTGTGTGAATATAAAATACATCAGAAATATAATTTGAATATGATATTGTGATGGTCAGTTTCATGTGTCAACTTGGCTAGGCCACCGGGCCCAGATACTTGGTCAAACGTTAGTTGTCGTGAAGGTATTTTTCAGATGAGATGAACCTTTAAACTAACAGACTGAGTAGAGCAGGCGCCCTCTGCAGTGTGGGTGGGCCGCATCCAATCAGTTGAAGGCCTTAAAAGACCAACTTCCCCCAAAGAGGGAATTCTGACAAAAGACGGCGTCCCAAGGCACCACGACATCAGCTCTTGCCTGGGCCTCCTGCTGCCCCGAAGAGTTTGGACTCGCCAGGCCCCACAACCACCTGAGCTCAAACCTCTTTCTCTCTCTCTCATACACACACACACACACACACCCCATTGATTCCATTTCTCTGGAGAACCCTAATACATATACATTCATAGCATGGAAAAATGTATATACATCCTTAACACGTACACAGCAAGAGCTATACAAGGGAGATCTGCTGCCACAGTTTCACGTGCCTGGGAAGTGGAGCCCACAGAACCAGGGAGCCAGCGGGCCTGCAGCCAGCCAGGTGCAGAAAGGGGTCCAGGTGGACCTCTCGGGCCCCTGAGGACCTGCAGTTGGTGTGAGTGTGGGGCTGGCGCCCGGGGCTCTTCCTCATCTGCCAGGCGCTCTGCTGTGAGCGTCCTGCTCCCAGGGTCCTCGGGCGGGGCGGTCAGTTCCACGTCCTCGGCCTGCACCACCACCGTCCACAGACCTGCTGTAACACCCTGCACCTCACCAGCCACATCCCGAACGGCTGACAGAGCCTTTCCACACGGTTCTCTCCACTGTCACACAACCCTGCCAAGCTGCCCCTAAGCCAGTGCCCTCAGGGTGTTCTGTCTCGGGCCTTCTCACTTGTGAAGGGTGCAGGCAACATCCGTCAGGGTTCCCAAGCGGCTGCTGCACATGGGAGCCCAGCACACCCTCGGATCACAGCAGGGCTGCTCTGGGTGGGCCGGTGGGCTACTGGGCTGCAAATCCTAGCACGTGGGCTGTTTACCAGGGTGCCCCCAGGGCATGCCTGTGGACTGAGCTGCAGAACACCCTGCTGGACCAGTCCCCATGTTTTGGCGGGGCTCCCCATCTGCCCTGCCCCCTCCTCACCTGCAGCGTGTAAAGGTACGGCAGCCAGACACAGTCGCCCCAGCCCAGGTACCACCCAAAGTGGTCGTGGCAGATGTCCATGGTTTTCAGGTACCAGGCTTCATTCCAGAAGAAGTCCAGCACATAGATGGCCTGCAAGACAGGGCAGCCACTAACCGACCCCTGCTCTCCTGGAACACGGACGGGAGCTTCCCGCCATGCCTGGGATATGGGAGGTGGGGGAGTAAAGGAGTCTTTGTCCTTACTCCCCACAAGCCCACAGCCCTGGGGTCACATCCAGCCCAGGTTCTCAGGGCCTGGAACGGTGCCTGCACGAGGGAGGGGTGCATTCACCCCATCCAGACCCGCCCTCCTGCCCACCCCAACCCCAGCGACGTCCAGGGCCTCCTGACTGGCCTTCCTCACCCATTCGGGGCCCTTCCAGCCAGCTCTCCCCTCAGCTCCTGGGGGGCCCTTCGGAACACACCTGATCCCCGCCACCCTCCACCCCTTCTCAGCACATATGTGCACGGCCTTGCTGCTTTTAAGATAAAGATTAAAAATTCCACGAGGCCTAAGGAGCCCAGATGACGGCCTTATTCATCTCCAGCCCCACCCAGCTCTGAGCTCCCGCACACGCTCTGCTCAGGACCCGGGACGTTTCTCAGTTTCTGACTTGCCATCACCTACTACAGGGAACCTGCACAGGCCATTCCTTCCCCCTGGAGCACCCCCTCTTGCCTCTACCATACCTGGTTAAATGCCCACTCACCCCCAGATTCCCCCAGGTGCCATCCCCAAGGGAGACCTTCCCGGGCCAGGCCGGGCTGTGTGGCACCTGCTTCCTCCCCTCCCTAGGCTGGCGCAGCACCAGGCTCACGGTGATGGCCTCTCCCACCACGTGCTCGCTGCCCAAGACTCCTGGGAAGGGTGGCTGACTCTCTGAAAAGTGGTGGATTAACTCTCTGGCTTTGGGATTTTCCCAGGGCCTGGCAAGTGTCAGCGCTTCCACCGTCTCTGGTCACGACGGGTACCTGGAGGACGTTGACCAAGACCATGGAGTTGGTCACTTGGCCGTAGAGCTCCTGCTGTTTAGCCGCAAAGGACAAGTTGATGAGGGTCCAAGCAACAATCCCAGGGCGTCCATTAAAGAACAGCTTGAAGTCAAACCACTTCCCAATTCGGGGGTTAAACTCAACGCCCATCATGTAGTTGTAAAAGAAATTGCCTGTGAATTTGCTAAAAATATAAAGAAAAGATACGTTTAGTGGGTAGGCACATCTCCCAACACACAGCCTACCTTGCTTAGCCGGTGCTAAGCACAGGCCTTGGGTCCCGACAGGTTACATGAGCTGGCCTGGGCGCAGCCCACTGTGAGCTGCCAGGACCCATGTGGCTGACGATGCTTCAGTCTGGCTGGCTCCCCAACACCCAAATTTACTCTCACTTTCTGTCCGGCCATGGCTCAGCAGAGACACCTTAGCCACATGGCAGCCCTTAGGATGCCCACTCTGCTCCCGGGAAGGGTGGGAGACTCCAGGTGCTGGCACACGGCACAGGGGAGCTGCAGAGCTGGCTCTGTTGGACTGAGTGTGATCCTGAAGCCCAAGCATGTGGCCTGAAGTCAACTCAGGGCATTTGGGCCCCTCATGGGCAACTGATGTTACAAATTATGCCTAAATAGAGAATGAAAAAAATCATCCTGTCCAAAGCCGTGTGCTTGCTGTGTACGCACAGGGATTTCTGGGTTAGAAAATCCTATTTTTGAGTCCAGTTCCTTCAGTTAGGCTAAACACAAAGCAGCCAAACAGTCTAAAGCAGCTGATGTGATTACAAAGCAGTGACGGTGATTTCCATGAGCCATAGGCCAGCCTCGTTACTTGATAACACACAGGATAGACAGTATCATCCTCCAGAGACACTTCCCAAGACCTAGGAGTAATAGTTAGAGGAAAGATACTTTGTTTGGGTCTCCCAGAATAAATTGTAAGCCCCACTGCCTACATCTGTCTACAAAAGAACCCCACCAAATATGTATCGATGGATAGATGGATGGATAGGAGGGTGAGTGGGTGGATGGATGAATGGATGGGGAGATAGATGGATGGGCATGTGGATGGAATGGATAGATGGATGGGTGGATAGGATAGGATGAGTGGGTAGATGGATGGATGAGAGGGTGAATGGGTGGATGAATGGCATGGGTAGATGGATGGATGGGTGTGTGAATGGATGGATAGGCAGGTGGATGGGTGGGTAGACAGCTAGGTGGGTGTGTGAATGGATGGATAGGCAGGCAGGTGGATGGGTGGGTAGATGGATAAATGGGTGTGTGAATGGATGGATGAACGGGCAGGTGGATGGGTGGGTAGATGGATGGATGGGTGTGTGAATGGATGGATGGACGGGCAGGTGGATGGGTGGGTAGATGGATGGATGGGTGTGTGAATGGATGCATGGACGGGCAGGTGGATGGGTGGGTAGATGGAATGGATGGACGGGCAGGTGGATGGGTGGGTAGATGGATGGATGGGTGTATGAATGGATGGATGGACGGGCCGGTGGATGGGTGGGTAGATGGATGTCTGACCACTGTCCAGCCTGAGGTCCATGAGAATAGGTACCGACCAGCAGGGCTCTCCCGGAAGCTGTTATGTTAAAGCTGCTAAGACAACAAGACTCTTCACTAAGACTGTTTCAGGCCACACTCACTACTCCAAAGAGGCAATGGGCTGCCTTTGCCCCGAGCCAGCAGTTGTCTTTCTGGCTTCCCTGCTCCCATGATGGCCCCACAGGCAATGACTTGGCCACTGTCCGCTACATTCTTCCTAAGGCCAGAGAAGCCACCAGACACTTAAGATGTTCCCCAGGGTCAAATAAGCTCCATTCCCCTCCTTCTCTGAGGCTTCTGCAGCCTCCCGTCCAAGGCAGCAGATGGGCAAGGAGCAAGAATAGCACTTTCCACATCAGGCGTGGCCTCCACTACGAACATACCAGTCTTTGGCACTGGTGGGGAAGAAGTAGCCCTTGATCATCACGAAAGTGGACACGGTGTAGCCGAGGATGTTGGCGCACCACAGCAGCGGTATCCAGTTGTCGAAGATGATGGTGGGCGGGAACCAGGACAGGAGGTGGGCACCGGCGAACCAGAGGAGGTGTGTGATGAGCCAGGCTTGGAGGCCGTTGATTTCGTACTTGTTCACAACCCCTGCGGGGGGAAGATGTAGAAATCAAAGTGTGTCCCTGACCTGCATCAACGGACTTGGCCAGGTGGTCACATGCCTGGCTGGGCCGAACTCGTTTTCTGGGCCTTTGGGACTGCTCCGACCCTCGTCCAGGGCCCCCAGCACCGTCCCCGAAGAGGCCGGTCAGTGTCTGCAGCAATCCCAGCTCCCGGTCAGAAGGCCGGTAGTGCCCCTCACACCGTCGGCTGAGGAACCAACGCTCCTGCCGAGTCCTCGGAAGAGGGAAAGTAGGTGACTCTATGCTCTGGGCTCTGAGCCTCCTTAAGTGACCACAGGCCGGGTGACGGGGCTACGGTTTGTTAGGGAGGGTGCGGCCAAGTGGCAGAGGCAGGCGAGATGCCTGTGGTGCCCCACGTCCCCCTTGCAACTGTCACGGAGCGTCTCAGCCTCCCACTAGACCAGGAGCTCTCTGCGGGCAGGGACAGGTGGGCTTCCAGTCTGCACCCCGCACGGCACGAAGCTGGGCTCTTCGCTGACGAGGCCTCCCCACAGATGCGGGCGGCACTGGGGCTGGGCAGGACAGTCCTTCAGGAAGCTGCTACAGAGCCGGCCACATCACCTGCTGTGCGACTGGGGAAGGCGCTGGGGCCCATCGGTCCCCTCTCTATGGAGCAAAGTGATGTTTAGCCTTGTGCCTCAGACAACCCCGGCTGCCCTCAATCCTTTTGAGGCCTGGTGCTGTGAAAAATCTCCATGCGAAACTCACTTTTATTTGTGAGAGGCCTTGGGACAGAAGTGGACTTGGGGTGGAGGTGGCCTCAGGGTGGGCAGCCGCAGGGCTGAAGGGAGGGGCACAGCAGCCCAGAGGGGAGCCCAGGAGGGCAGGTGGGGGGTTTACCTGCAGGCGTCACGGCCCCTTCCTGCACTCCCCCTACGTAGCCGGGCACAAACTTATGGCAGAAGTCAGGAAGCCATGTGTACAAAAGCACCTGCAACAAAGAATGTTATGCAAAATTGCCACGGCCTGGAGGGCACACCCATGTTTTGACACAGCATGAACTTGAGAAATCCTAATTATGGTTTCGGTTTTTTTTTGAGACAGAGTCTCACTCTTGCCCCAGCTAGAGTGCAGTGGTGTGATCATAGCTCACTGCAACCTCCAACTCCTGGGCTCAAGTGATTCTCCTGCCTCGGCCTCCCAAGTAGCTGGGACTACAGGCATGTGTACGACCACGCCCGGCCAATTTTTCCATGTTTAGTAGAGACGGGATCCCACTCTTGCTCAGGCTGGAATTATGGTCTTACGCAGAAAGATTATTGCTCCTGGGAGCTCAGACTGCAGGTCGACTGGGGCTTTGAAAGGATTCCTGAACAGGAAACTCATCTACCAGTCAAGGCACCAAAGTGTCCCTCCCCAACCCCCAGCCCACCCAGGGCCCTGCTCACCCCCTCAGGAGAGCACACGAGTCCTTCCCAGTCACTTTTTATTGGGGGAGGGAGGTATTTAAAAAAATTGAGATATGACTAACATACCACAAAATTCACCCTTCCAAAGTGTACAATTCAGCAGCATTTAGTGCATTCGCAAGGTTGTGCAACCATTGCCACTATCTTAATTCCACAACTTTTCATCCCTGTAGAAGGGAAATCCGCTCCTATTCAAAGTCACTCCAAATTCCCCCTCCCTGCAGCCCCTGATGACTGCTGCTCCTCCTGTCTCTGTGGAGTGGTCCACTCTGGGCTTTTCACATAAATGGAGTCACACAGTGTGTGGTGTTTTATGACCAGCTTCCTTCAATTAGCGCGGTATTTTCCGGGTTCATCCACCCGCAGCGCGTATCAGCACGTCACTGCTGCTTAATGCCAAACGGCATCCACGGGTGGACAGACCGCACGCTGCGTACCCAGCCGTCCGTGGACGGAAAGAGGGGCGTTTCCACTTTTGGGCTATTGGGTTTTTTTATGTTTTTAGTTTTATTTTTTCTTCTTTCTTTCTTTTTCTTTTCCTGAGCCAAAGCCAAGTAAGCTTTCAGCTGTTGTGATTCAGCTGCCCCTGTCATTTTTTCCCCAAAGGTACCAATAGACCTGAACTGTGAGGGATTCTAAAGCCCGAAATCTTGGACCCTGGGGAGAAACAGCAAACAATGGCTCCAGCCTTCCTCCTGGGAGGGAAAACCCGGGCCTGTCTGCCTTCTCCTAGCACCATTTCCCTGGAAACTTTATCCAAGGTTAAGACAATGAGCAACACGGCTGCGTTTGCCAAATTTACTGTGCAAACAGCCCCTGCCTGGGGAGCTTCCTCTGTGCGGGGAGGCCGGCAGGGGAGCAGGGTGAAGACGTCCTTGGCCAGGACTGCGCAACACCCTGTTGGGAAATGCAGGTCTGGGCTTTGTGCCCAGCAGTGTCCCTGGTCACTAAGAGCGTCCCTTTCAGGGTTGGGGATGTTCCTTCCCACGGGCTAATGCAAGACTTGCCTCTCGCTGTGTACAGGGCCTCCCTGGGCCCGCCCATGCCCTCCCACTGGGTCTCACTCCTCACCCCAGCCTGTTCCTGCAAGGCTGGGCACGCTCTGGAACCACATCCAGGCACTTCCAAAGGAGTGGCAGACACAGATGCCGACAGGTGCTTCCTGCCCTACGTCTGATGACAAACCTAAGTGCATCTGAGTCTAAGGAATGCCCTCTAGATCCTGGAACCTGAAAGTCAACCCGAGTCAGGATCCCACACCCCAGACAGACGGCAGGGAGTCCCAGCATGAGGGCCACTCTCCCCGCACCCGCTGTGCCCTGACCGCAAAGGCGGGCTGCTGACCTGGAAGGTGACCCACAAGGCATAGAGCTGGGCCGCTTTCTTCGTCACAGGTGGGGTCTTGGCCCAGATGTCTGCGAGCCGAGCACGGCCGGTGGCGATGTCCACCACGGGAGCTGTCAGAGCGCAGCCGTACTGGTCGCAGGCCATGATAAAGTAGTACACGATGACGGGCGCGAAGAGCAGCAGGAAGATGACGCTCGCCAGGGAAAACCAATCCACCTCCCTGTCGGGACAGACGCGGGCGGTCACTTGGGGCCCACTCGTCCCCCTGACCCCACACAGGGCTCCGAGATGGCCTTGTGTGTGGGACCCGTGGTTCAAGCCCACCGGCACCTCACGAGAGAAGGCACAGCTCTTAGCGCCAAGCCCTCCCGCTGCTGAGGAAGCCACCCAAAGTACCTGCTCCACTGCGACTGGCAGGCAATTCGATGGACCTGTGGGTGCCCACAGACAGCCCGGGGCCCAGGACATGAACGCAGGAAGGCCTTTCACAACCACCAAGGCCGGCGGCCTCCCCAGTTCCAGGCCAGGGAAGACCCTCACCCACACCAAGTTCCCACCGCTCTACGGCAAAACGTGAGCCTGACAACAACGTCCCACCCCAGGGCAGTGGGAGAGAACCGGTTGCCTTAAAGCCCACATCCCTTCTATATGGTTTGGTGACAGTGCTTCCTAGTTTCCCTTTTTTTAATTCCTTACTCTATAAAGTAGAAAACTGCTTACCTTTCGTTAGACTTGACAATAAAAAAAGATTTTAATAGGTTATTCATTCCTTTGGGTCCATAAAATCCCAAAGGCTGCAAACCTCTAAGAGCCACTGTATCTTCCGACTGGGAGAACAGGCAAGATCCTTACCAGGCACGGCCCCACTGTCCTTGAGATACAGCCCTGTCATTGGTGACGCTGGCCGGACTCTTGGTTTTGGGAGCATTGGGCTGGGATTTTGCAGCCATCAGGCCCTGTAGGAAAGAGATAGCTTGCTCAGATTGTCCACAAAGAACAGAAACCACCTCTCCCTGCTGCATCCACCACTGCTCAGGGGCCTGGCCTCCTTAGCACACCCTCCCAGTTCCTTGTCCCCAACAGCAGGTTCCAGGCAAGGAAGAGACGGTCCCATGTTAGACTCTCTCCTGGAGCCTGCAACCACCTCCCACCTGGCCTTCCTACACCTGCTCTTGCTGGTCGCAGTTCATTCTCCGGGTGGCGGCAGAACACCCACGCTTCTTACAGCTCGAACCAGCTCCCCCTCCCTCCTGCACACCGTTCTTCCTTCGTCCTCTCTGCTCAGGGACACTGCTCAGGGACACGGGGACCTTTACTTATCCTTGAATACAGTTCATCTCGTTCATGTGAACCATGACAACAACATCCCACCCCCAGGGCAGTGGGAGAGAACCGGTTGCCCTTAAAGTCCATATCTATATCCTCGTTCACGGGGCCAGTTACTTCCTCTGCTTAGAACACGATTGCACGTGTCCTTGTTCAGGGATCATGGAAAATGTCCCTTCCTCGGGAGACCTTCCCTCCCAGCCAATTTAAAGTGGCTGCTCCCCAGGTTCCCTGCCAAGGCTTGCATTCCACCGGGCAGTTTATTTTCTTAATAATTTTCCTCACCATATAGGATTATTTTATTTGTTTTTGTACATGGCTATAGTCTGTTCCCCTGGCCCCCCATTAGGATGTAAGCACCCAAGGGCAGGAGTCCTATGTCCCCTGTATTTCTCCACTACCAGGGCCTAGAACAGTGGCCCATATGGGGTGCTCAATAATCACCCTAAAAAACAGGGGGAGGAGAGAGAATTTCTCTAGGGACCCACAGCTGCTCTATATGCATTGATTTGGGGGAAGTAGTGACACCCTCACGTCCAGAACAAGTTCATAACTGTGAAGCCTTAACATATCAGCGATAAAAAAAAAAGATGATCTTAAAGGCTTTCAAAGAAAAACTGGGATTAAGAATCCTGGTAGCCCTGGCCTGCTCAACGGCAAGCTGAATCGTAGAAGACAACAATGAAAAACTTCAACATTCTGACGGAAGCTTTGCTTTCGACCTAGAAGTCTATTCCCAAGGGAACTGTTGTTTAAAGAAGATGGCACAAGGTCCAGGAAAGTGGGGATCCCAGAGAGCTGCTAAAGGGATGCCCAGCGAAAGGAAAAGGGCAAGTCTAGGGCGACAGCTGTGCGGCAGGACCAGCCGGGAACCAGCCCACACGGGGACAGGATGAATGGCTAGGCAAGAAGAGAGATAAAATGAGTTTTGTTGTGTTTGAGTGGGCAGAGCAGTTGGTATGTGTGGCAGCTCTGTCAGAGCACTCAGAAAGAATTAATGACAGGGCCAGGCGCGGTGGCTCACGCCTGTAATCCTAGCACTCTGGGAGGCCAAGGTGGGCGGATCGTTTGAGCTCAGGAGTTCGAAACCAGCCTGAGCAAGAGCGAGACCCCGTCTCTACTAAAAATAGAAAGAAATTAATCAGACAACTAAAAATATATAGAAAAAATTAGCCGGGCATGGTGGCACATGCCTGTAGTCCCAGCTGCTCGGGAGGCTGAGGCAGAAGGATCGCTTGAGCCCAGGAGTGTGAGGTTGCTGTGAGCTAGGCTGATGCCACAGCACTCACTCTAGCCCAGGCAAAAGAGTGAGAAAAAAAAAAAAAAAGAATTAATGACAGATGCGCAGAAATCTCACCAAGCGGAAAAAGGGAGGAAACCGTTAACTGCAGGAAAAACAAAAAGTCATACGAGGGGAAAAAAAGAAACCAAACCATAATTATAGGGCATTACTTGGCTCAACAACGTCAACTCTGGCTATTGATCGACTATTGGACGTACGGAAGGAAATCTGCAAAGTTGGGGGTGTTAAAAGCAAATTGCTTAGCAGATACAAACACCACCATCAAAGTAGTTAAAAGAATGAAAAGTGTTTGCCGCTGGCAAGCCAGATGTGGGATATAGGATGCGGTAAAGAACTTTTTCCGGTAAACCTTTTTACATTCTGATTTTTTAAAAAATGTGAGCATCAATTACTTAAATAAAAATTTACATTCATTTAACAAATTTCCATGACGAAAGACATTTTCATTACATAGTGTGAGAACTGGAGCCTCAGCACAGGTTAGTTTATGAAGAGCCTGTGACAAACAAGGCAGGGTGGAAAGTTCTTGAGGGGCAGGGGCCACGCCTGTCTACAGCCCCGAACAGAGCCTGGCCCATGGCAGTCACTCCGCTCATATTTGCAGAATTGAAGCAGATGAAAGAAAACTGTCCCTGAGAAGTGTTTTACACCCTAAGCAACACGGATGTCAGGATCGCGGCCATCTGGCCAGGCCAGCTCGCTTTCCAGTTCCCTCCCCCGAGGCTCTCATATTGCTTCTTGCTCAGTGGGAACAACCCCAGGCTTCAGACTTCGTGGTGACGCAGAGGGCTATGGAGAGGAGAGCGCTATTCGCGCTCCTCACCAAACCTTCCTAGGTCAGCGCCCCAACCTCTGGCCCTGAGTTCTTAGGCTGACAGTGTCCGTCTCCAGCACCCATGCTCACTCCTGCCTTACAGGAACGTCAGGCAGAGGGGGCTGGCGATCTTCTTGCCCCAAGTCACAGCCAAGCCCCGTGGAGGCAGTGCCTGGCACCAATGTCATCCCTCAATTATCTGCCATGCTGGAAAACTGCGAACAGCCAGGGAATGTGTGACCTCAGATCAGTACGGAAAAGGCAAGTGGAGAACGTGGCCAACAGGGAAAAGTGTATCTCCTAGGGATTAAAACAGGATCAAACTACTATTTCCTGCTTATCGAGTTCATTCACCCAGGAGTCGGGTCCTCTGTCACAAGCACTGAATTTTGTAATCAACGTGTAAGTAGGGCCTTGGTGGTGGACGCTGGGAGCAGAGGCGGGAGGTGCTCCAGGTGGACTGTATTTCACTCATGAGACACAGACAGCAGTCAACACTTGAGAGCAGATACACCAGTTTGTTTTTACTTTTTCAAAGCTGAAAAGTCACAGCCTGTGCCAGGGACCAAGGGCGCTGAGACATGCTTACCTCCGATCCAGTGGCTTCACAGAGGAACGTAAGTTTCCTTCCTGAACTGGCCTCTTTAAAATGTCTGGACTCTCCCGTTCCAGAAGGCCTGCCCGCGGCTTCCCCACACGCGGAACACGCCGAGCACAGTCCTGCAGGGGACACAAAGAGGGAAACCCTCAGGGAGCTGACAGTTCAGGATGGAAGGCAGACAAGGCCCCCTGCTGGAATCAAGCCAGCCACAGGCTCATGGCGGGGAGCGCAAGATCAAAAGGGGCCCCGTGTGCGCACGCGCGTGTAAGGCAATCTCTTTAGAGCTTCTCCGCCTGGCTCGGTGCCTGGCAATCGGTAAGGACTTAACACCAATGGCTGGAACAGGACGGGTCTTCACGCAGGCGGTGCTTGCTGATGGGCCTTGAGGTCGTACGCGGATCAGATCAGATGAGTGGCAATGAACCAAGAGGGTTTTCTTTAGACGCTGACCACAGGCAGCCACATGCGTCTGGAATGCCTCAGCTCAAATGAAGCCACCCAGAGCTTGTACATTCCAGGAGCCAGAGAGAGCCCAAGGACTCAGAGCAGCCCCGAGAACAACCTGGGCTCCGCGGCCCGAGTCCCTGGGGCTTCAGTGACCTTCCTGCGTATCTTAATGCCTGTGAGGACTGATGGTGGTTGATGACAGATAAAGGCGGTTAGGGGCCCTGCCCTGGGGAAAGAGGAGCCAGGGAAATGGGTGGGGCGCCCTAGCGGCCTGCTCAGCTCCCAGGGCTGGTTTCCAGGTCCCACAGACCCAAGCGAAGGGGACTCTGTGCCTGAAGGTCTGGGGATGGCTCGACCCTGTGGCAGCTTTCTGGCTCCTCGAGGGTTTAGTAATTTGGGGACGCAGCAGCGACCCAGCACTGTGGCACAGCTAGTGGCAGCCGGCGTGGGGAGTGCCCAGAAGGCCCCAAGGGTCCCCGCCAGAGGCTACGAGTTCCTATTTGAGGCATGAGACCTTGAGCTGTCCCTGACACTTGCTGAGCCTTAGTTCCCTCGCTGCAAAGTAACCGCGTCACCCACTGTGCTGAGTGAGGAGTCAACGCGATAACGTGGGCCAAGTGCGCAGAGCCACACTGGACCCCCAAGTGTTCACCCGTGTGCCAGCTCTCGCCCACACTGCCATCGGCACTAGCCAGGGCTCAGCGGGGCTCACCCAGAGGAGATTCAGACTGGCAGAGAAGGCTGCAAAACCAACAGGCCCCAAAGGCCTGCAGGGCTGGGCCACAGAGCATTTTGGTTATCAACTGAACAGCAAATCGCCCCTGAACTCAGTGGCTTAAAACCACAAGTCTTTGTATCATCTCGTGGTTTCTGTGGGTCAGGGTTTGGGAAGGGAAGGCTAGGCAGCTACGACCTGGGCAGCGGGGTGGTCTCATGCAGGGGGATGGCCGCGTGCTGGGGCAGCGGCACGAGCACTGCTGAGACTCCCTCTTCACGGGGTTTCCTCCTGCTGGCTAGCTTGGGCTTCTTCACAGCATGGTGGCCTCAAGGCCATCAGAGAATTTACAAGGAGGGCCCCAGTGAGGGTTCCAAATACAAGGCAGAAGCCGTGTCACCTTTTCTGACCTGGTCTCAGCAGGCATGTAACATCGCTCCCACCAGATCCCATTGGTCACAGCGCCCCGTCATTCGAGAGAAGGGGGTCAGACCCCACTTCTTGCTGGGGGAGTGGCAAGGTATCAGGACATGAGCTATTGTTGGGGCTATCACTGGATGACACAACCTGTCACAGACAGCTCTATTCAGCATCTACCATGGGCCAGACGCAAGTTATCTCATTGGACTCTCACACCGACCCTGGAGAGTTAGCTCCTTCCTGTTCACCCATTTCACAGATGAGGTTAAGGACAGAGAAGATCCTTCTGCTATTGCAACAGGTTCACTCTGACCTAGGGGACAGAGCTGGGTCTGTGGGAACTCCACCTTCTGGGACTCCCTGGGGAGGCTGTGGAACAGAATTTGGAATAACGATGACACGTGCTAACTTTTGAGTGCCATGTTGAGTACTATTCTAAGGATCTTATACAGAGGAACAGATTTAGTTGGAACGTCATGGGAACAGCAGGGAGTCCATTTTAAAAGTGTGTTAGTCCTAGGAGTGGCAGAGACTGAAAAATAGAGACGTGCTCCCAACTGGATTTCGAGATCAAAAAGAACAATACAAGTCAGAGTCGGTGAGGGAGAGAGGAGCTGCCCTCCTGGTGTGAGGACACTTCTAGAAGCCAGAGAGACGCAGCAGTTGACCCAGCAGATACTTGGAGGAATTTATCTTGGAAAATACTCTGAGGGCTGTGTAAACATGCAGATGCAAGAACTTCCATTCCATTGCGATTTGCTGTATATACTTGCAAAACAATGGAAACAACCAAATGACTATCAATCAGAAAATCAGATAAATAATGACACACCTACACATAACACTCAGCAACCATTAAAAAGAACAAGTTTGTTCTGTGTGTATCAACGAGGAAGAAGTCTCTGATGTGTCACAACAAAAGGGCAAGTTGCAATATACTGTATCATTAAAAAAGCTACACACTGGCCAGGCGCGGTGGCTCACACCTGTAATCCTAGCTCTGGAAGGCCAAGGCGGGCGGATTGTTTGAGCTCAGGAGTTCGAGGCCAGCCTGAGCAAGAGCGAGACCCCATCTCTACTAAAAATAGAAAGAAATGATCTGGATAACTAAAAATATACAGAAAAAATTAGCCGGGCATGGTGGTGCATGCCTGTAGTCCCAGCGACTCGGGAGGCTGAGGCAGTAGGATCGCTTGAGCCCAGGAGTGTGAGGTTGCTGTGAGCTAGGCTGACGCCACGGCACTCACTCTAGCCAGGGCAACA